TAATATCCCTTTTTTTTAAACTAAACAATCAATAACCTAACCTATCTCCACCCACTTTCCTACCAAACTACCATAATTATTCTTAATATCTTTATTCCTCTGCCCACTCCACTAGAAAAATATTCCCTTATGTAAATAAAATCCTAAAAGAAAAAAAAACTTTAGGCTTGTAATCCATATAATATCTTCTGTAATGTCTTTCAACTGGATGATAAACTCCATCGCCCATGTTAGGGTAACATCGCATCCTAATTCCAACAGTATTTTCAGTATCTTCAATTACCATCTGCCCCCATCAGTAACAAATATCTTCATATTGCAAAAAGAAAAAAAAAGAACACAACAACCACCCAGGTGACTATATTTATATTCCATATAATATCTATAGAGGTGTCTTTTATCCAGATTATTAATTCGAACCACCATAATAGGGTAACAACCAGATCTTCTGCGTGCCCCAATCCAGTAGATCTCTTGCCATGTAACTCAGCATACACATAATATATTTATCAAGAAATCCAAAAAACAAACAAGATATTTCCAACCATTCGATTTAAGGCCTTTTTCACATCCCAAAAAATTCAGCACTGCAGAGATCTGTCACTCTCCTCAGGATAAAATAAACCAATACTTTGCCCATTATCTTTTCGTATATTCAGTCCTCTCATAAGTAACTGGCATTACACTGTTGTTTAGTTTAAAAGTTTTTGTTTTTGTGAGACCTACTTCTTCTTTTCTTGACTTTTTGTGGGTTGGATCTCCATCCTAAATTCCTTTCTGTAGATTGTGTATTGACTATTTGGTTTTCATGCTGATCTATAACTTGATCTTGTTCGTTTTGCTTTTGTGGCTGAAATCTTTCTGGTTCTGTAAATTGTATATCAGCTGATTGACTTCCATGCTGGTTTGTGGCTTGATAAATCATTGCATTAGGGTCCGGAACCGCCTCTCTTATATTAAATAATAATAATAAATAATAATAAATAATCCAGCTGAGACCTCTGAGAGAGAATCCAAAAGCGGTTCATATGTGGAGACCTCTATAACTTGTTGTTTCTTCATTACTTCCATCTCCTTCTGCTTTTCTTGAGTTTCTGTCTCTTGTTGATTTTGCTTTTTAAGGACCTTGTGGTAAAATTCTTCCGCTTTTTCAACAGTATTTAACTGATATCTTACTCCTTGATATCTCACTATTATTCCCACTGGGACATCCCACCTGAATAAAATACTTTGTTTTCTTAGCTCTGTCACCAAAAGTCCAAATTTCTTTCTATCCCTTAACATCTTAGGCGGCAATTCTTTATATATCCAAATTTTTCTCCCATACAGTTGTAAAATAGAATTAAAGGATTTTTGCACAATATCATTTCTAATTTCTTTGTCTGTAAAATAAATCACCACATCTCTAGGCAATTGCCTTTGCTTTGCAATCCAAGAATTTATTCTATAGGCCTTATCAATTTTACAGAATACCTCCTCAGGATGAACCTTTAGGATCCCAGCCAGAACTTGAGCAGATGTTTTTCTTAGATCATCACTGTTATTTTCCTGTAAGCCTCTGATTCTGATCGCAAATTTTGTAAGCCTGTATTGCATCATTACAACTTCTCTTTCAATTCCTTGCTTTATATCTTCTGCATTATAAGTCTCATGACCAGCTTCCTCTTTAGACTTTACTTCTAAACTATTGTCTTGAGTATTTATTAAATCCTTTTCAATTCTTAATATTTTATTGTCCAAATTATAAATCTTATCATCAATTTTCTCCATTTTAGACTCTAGCAATTTAATATTTGTATCCAACTTTATAACAACTTCTGAAAAGCCATTAGTCTCTGTTACAATCTTTTGTTGCAAGTTATCATACTTTAGTTGTATCATTTCTTTAATTTCCTGCCTTAATTTTTCAAATTTCTGGTTCATAGTCTCATGATATTTTGCCATTTCCTCCTGAATAAATTCTTTTAAATTAAAACCATTCTGCAGAGTCTGTAGGCTCAGAGCTTGTTCATACAGTTGTGAATGGGGGAGCACCCCCCCCTTCTTGTCTATCAGCAAACTTTTTTTCTTCCCCAAGCAAGATCAAGTACAAATCTCCAGGAAGAGAGGAACTTAGAATAACTAATTTTTTTCCAAATTGTAGCCAGCACTATATATTCCGCTACTTTGTATCTGTTACGGAAGGACTCTCACTTTCGGCTTTCTTCTACTTCCCAAGCCTCAGCGGTCGCCATTTAAAAAAAATTTTTTTTCTCTTTCACTCTGAGATGCTTATAAATTCATTAAGGATACTTGCAATTTAGGGTCCCAAATCCAAGTCTCATCTTTTTAATAAATCCATCTGTTAGGTTCGTTGATTAATCCGGTTCCAGCGCCTAGCTCTGCAAAAAGGCAGAGTGCGCCCGGAGCAACGGCGAGGGGAAATAGGGAGCCTCAACCTGCTCGTCCCCAAGAGTTAAAAAAAAACCTCTGGGGACTTCGCAGAGGGCTCTACCTGCCCTCGCCTGCTCAGACTCACATTTCCGTCAGTTTTTCGAGCCGCCTTTCAGATGTAAAGGCGGCTCTTTACAGGCAACGGGGCGGTGGTCACGGAGGACCGTCTGGCGGCGCCGGAAGCCAGACAGGAAGCCATGTTGTCATTTAGTATTACTTTTGCTGTTTGCTGTGTGTATATTTTTCTTATAATAGGTTTGATCCAAATTGCATAGTCTCAATTTGATCCAAATTGCATAGTGTCGTCTTTAGGTATAATTGTAATTATTGCTTCCATCCAGGATAGTGGGATTTTTGTCTTCTCTAGTGCTTCGCTGTATAACTCCAGCATGGTGTCTCCTATTTTATATAATTCCACCAGAAGGCCATCTGGGCCCAGCGTTTTGTTATTTTTTTGCTTTTTCAATGCAGCATCTAATTCCATCTCAGTTTTTTTTTTTTTAATTTGATTTATATGCCGCCCTTCTCCGGAGACTCAGGGCGGCTTACAATGCGCTAAGCAATAGCTGGCCTATTTAACATTTCTCTTTGATTGTCTGTAATTACAGGTATGTCTGACCTTTTTATATATTATTTTATCTTTTCGTCTTCTATTTCTTCTTGTCTATACAGATTTGCGTAAAATGTCCGAATAATTTCTTTTTTCGCTTTCCTACTATAGTGGATTTCCCCATTTTCATCTTTAAGCTGATATATCATTCTTTTGTCTCTGGCTTTTTTCAGTCTATAGGCCAGCCATCTACCTGGTTTGTTCGCCAACTCAAAGTAATTTTGTTTGGCCATTTTTATTTTCTGCGCTATTTCTTTTTGGTTCATCAAATTTATGTTATGTTTAGCTAACTTCCATTCTTCTTTTATTTTTTTATTTTGGGGATATTGTTGAAGTTTATATTCTATGTTTTTAAGTTCCTCCTGTAATTTATCTAGATATTGTTTCCTTTCTCTATTTTTTCCCCTATATATCCAATAATCAGGCCCCTTATGTATGCTTTTGCCGTATCCCAGGTATTCTGTAGAGAAGTATCTTCTTTTTTATTTATTTTAAAGAATAATTCTAATTCCTTTTCTAACATATGTTTAAATTCTTTTTGTTTACAAATTCTTTGATTCATCGTCTATCTCCTAAATGTTCTTTCTCCTTTCCAATTTACAAGAATTGGATTATGGTCTGCCCATTGATTTCCTTCTATCTCTATTTTATCAACCCCATTTCTAATATTCGCAGTCATCCAGGCCATGTCAATCCTGGACCAGGATTGATAGGGATGAGAGTAAAAGGTGAACTGGTTCTGATCTTCATGGGTTTCCCTCCAAACATCTCTCAAATTTATTTCCCTGGCCATAGTAAAAAATTCTTTTGGAAGTATTTCTTTTTTTTTTCTTATTCTTTTTACTCGTTTTGTAATCTTTTTTTACATCTGCTATCGCATTATAATCCCCAATTAAACAGATATCTTCATAGTCCAATTCTACCATTTTATTATGTAAATCCTTAAAAAATTCCTGTTCGTTTTGATTAGGGGCATAAATTACTACTAATAGTATTTTCCTTTTTTCCAATACTAACTCGACCATCACCGTTCTATCGTCCTCATCTGAATGTATTAATTTCAAATAAATCCTATCCTTGACGTACACCGCTACAGAATAGATATATTTTCAATGAACTTTTTGGTCCACTGAAGCTAGGGGATAAGCAGTACAGTGCTAGTAAAATATGAGGGTTGTCCATTACTCTTTCTTCTCCCAAATTGTCTAAAGCTCCCCAAATTAGATTGAAATACTTTTAATTTATTTTCTTTAAAAATTCCTTGGTAGTACAGTGGTCTAAAGCACCCTGTTATTAAGACCAGCTGCCTGCAATTACTGCAAGTTCGAATCTCGCCAGGCTCAAGGTTGACTCAGCCTTCCAACCTTTCTAAAGTAGGTAAATTGAGGACCCAGTTGTGGGGGCAATAAGCTGACTTTGTATAAATATACAAAAGTATGAAGGCTATTGCTTAGCGCATTGTAAGCCGCCCTGAGTCTCTGGAGAAGGGTGGCATATAAATCAATTTTTTTTAAAAAAAAAAATCTGCTGGGGGAAATGACACCAATCTGAGTTTTCAGTATATGTACCGATAGATGATTGGCTACTACTATGTTGATCAATGTAGAAAATCTGGTCTGGGTCTTGGCAAAGACCCAAACAATCTCAGAGCATCATAAGCCTATCTGTATTACATGTGCAGCTCACATGAAAATCAATTTTATTGATTAGCTGGAAGGCCAGAGAAATAATCTTTAAAATTTGCTTCTCCCTCAGCAAAATCGGTAACATAAAACGGAAAGTGCAAATGTTTCTAGTGAGATGATTGAAGAGTGTCTACATTGGCAAGAATAATGAAGGAAAGGTTAAGATGCTTTTTGTGATATTAGGATAATGCAGTAGTATAATCAGCAAAACTTAAAAGTACTACTTCTATAGATTGCAATATTAACCTGAAATTATTTTTCCCTTCTTTTAGTTACCAGGAGTGAACCCTCAGCTTGCCAGAGTCAATGAAGTCCTTAAAATAGACCTTTCCAATCTCATTCAAAAGGTGCGATTGTGCCTGGTCAAGACACACATATTTGGCTACATGTTGCATCCCAAATGTCATTCTATTGTTTATCATGTTGCTTCGGATATTCATAAATTATTTCAAGAAGCAGATACTCAAATGTGGAGGATGTGCATAAAGGAAACTCACAGTTTCTCTGTTAATATGTTTTAGCATTTGGAGTTGAAATACAAGAAGAAACACAGTTTAATCTTCTTTAGCACAAGGCAATTTACACATAAATTTTTTAAAATCCTTAATAACTACCTTGCTTAGAAATGGAAATTCTGATTCCCATTGTAGTCATAAGTTGAGGACTATCTTCTGATTTAGGATGGAGTATTCTGTTTCAACAATCTGAATGCTTATGATTTTCATTCTATTTCATTCTCCTGACTGCTAACCATTAGGAACTCTTAGCTTAAAACTGGAAATCTTTGTATCATTTAAATTGGGAAGGGCAATGGGTGCCCTTGGGTGTTTTTTTCTTTGCATATTATGCAATTTGTGGATATGTAAAATACTTTTGCATCTGCTTGTGGATTATGCTTATAATATCTGAAGCCATTGATTTCTTAACTTTGAAGAGTTGCTACACACATTTATGACTTTGCAGCTACAGCACATGTGGTGCCATGCATTATTTATCTTGATTATGCAAATCACAAGGGCCCTGTATTCTAAAACACCAAGTTGAGTTGCTGTGGGCAATAGATGGGGATTGAATCATGGGAAATCAAAGAGGGTTCGTTTGAACCAGTCAGCTAAAATAAATTGTAATAAATGAATAAATTGTAAAAACAGGACCATGGTATTTGCAGGCATTTCACAGAGGCTATTCTGTATATGTTGATGCCTCTCACATATTAGAGAAGAAGAGTGATTTTCCCCTTCATGTCATACCTCAAGAACATAAAGGAAGAGAGCTGAATTTAAATTGGTCCATGGTAAAGTTTTTGCCTGATAAAAGCCAGTCATCTTCTAGTTTTATTTTTTATTTTTTTTTATTTTGAGGTAATGAGGGCTAAGAACATAGATCCACCTATTCTTCTACCAGGCCTAAGATGCTGCTGATAAGTAGAACCTTCAGTGAGCTCACACAGTGGTCAGAATGTTTGAATTTAGGTGGATTCTGGAGTAAGAATGTGCCCTTATTCTGTTTGCAGTTTATTTCAGTTTCTAAAATTAAAATGGAGTGGTAATGTACAGAGTTACATTAACAAGGATTAGTCTGCCTCTTCTTAAATACAGAAATAAAAGCTATCTTTTGTAATTGAGGTATTGTTGAATGTGTTCATTCCAGGGTTATGCAGCATTTAATGATACTCCTGAACTGGTACGGGATCAAACAAAGAATATTTTGTCAGGTAAGGAAGATTAGGGGATTAATTTATTGACTGCAAAAGTTTGTGATTGGAGTACAGCACTGAATGTAAAAATGGGAAACTTCCTAAAAAAAGGAGCCTTGGTGGCGCAGTGGACTAAAATGCTGTTAAGTAGCACTTAGCTGCCAGCTGCCTGCAATTACTGCAAGTTCAAATCTCACCAGGCTCAAGGTTGACTCAGCCTTCCATTCTTCCGAGGTAGGTAAAATGAGGGCCCAGATTGTGCAATAAGGGGCAATAAGCTGACTTTGTATAAAAAAAAAGAACACCACTCGGGTGGCCCGAAAGCCCTACTAAGCAGGTATATACAAAAGTATGAAGGCTATTGCTTAACGCATTGTAAGCCGCCCTGAGTCTCCGGAGAAGGGCGGCATATAAATCGAACTAATAAATAAATAAATAAATAAATAAATAAATAAATAAATAAAATAATGAGAAAAAACTATTAAAATATAGGCCTATTATTAAATAGATTCTAGATATACTGTGGAGTCCTTGGTGCTCTCTGAGCTTGGTTGTTTTCTTGCAGACATTTCATCACCAAAAGTAACATCTTCCGCACTGATGATATTGCTTAGTTTAATAATGAAACATCTGCAGGAAAGCAACCAAGCTCAGAGAGCACCAAGGATCCCATAATTCAACCCTGATCTACAAATATTCTTTTCTATCGATAACACTAAATATATCAAAGTTTGGTGATTCTGAATTGTTCTGCATTTTACAATCATAGGCATCTAGGGTTGCTTCAATTTAATCTTGGCTATTTAGGATTGGAGTGTGTTCATTATGTGACACATAAAATCATAGCAAAGCTGTGGGAAAAAGCTATTGAGGGAAGCAATAAATAGAGAATAGGGGAATTTGAAAGGGGAATAGTAACAATTTAGCTATGTAAACCTGATTCCTGATTTAAGATGTGAGTTTGCTTACATCATGGCCTGAAGATTTCCTTTTGAAAAGAACAATTGTAGTGTCTGCTCAGGAATAAGGTGCTCTTATGAGCTGTTAGAATGGACGTTGCTAAAGAGGCAGTAACCAAATATGAACAGTGCTTGGAGCACTGTGAATCACTGTGCATGGTAATTCACAAGATTTCTTAGCTGATTCTTCTATTGATCTCCCTGCTTGATGTGTGTGGTTTATTAGTGCCAGCCTATTTACAATTATTCCCCAAAACAAAGCCAAATCAGAACATTATCCATGAACTCTAATAATAATATTGTTAAAGAGTGATATTGACTTACCATAAGTAGTTGTTGAGGTACATGAGAATCTAAAGGAGAAAGGCCAAGGAAAGAATGTGGTCTGTCTTGAGGAGCAAGGCTGATGTAGGGAAAGGTTTGAATAAAGCATATGATGGTACTGAGATGTCCTTCTCATCTCTCCATGCTTTGATGTAAAAGGTAAAAATAATGTACAAAGCTGTGGTATAGAATCTATGTAGAAAGGTTGATCATGGATTCTCTTTATTATCAGTTCTCAGATATTTCAATTCAAGAAAAGGTTAAATATTGCTTTGCACTTTCTATATGAATTAATTTCCTTTCCAGTAAATTTCCTTTTCATATAAACTTTTTATATTTATTCCCAAATTAATGTTTGAAATTCTTCAAGAACCAGGTAAATTCATTGTTAGGTCTAGATTTGGCCTGTGAACCTCTGTTTGACTACTCCAGTAACAATTTTAGTAGTTTATAACTTTTTTTCATGAGCTAAGTCCTTGCATGCTATAAAGAAAACCAAAGAAAGTATTTATTAACAAACTCTTCTATTTTCATTCTTGCATATGGATCCATTCTGCCATTATAAGCAGCTGTACCTCGTAAGTTTTGAAAGAGCATGGAAATAATGTATATGTAAACATATGCATGCTTTGTCAAAAAATGAAAAATTAAATTATGAAAATGAAATTATTCCCAGAATGTCTTTTTCAACCAGGGAGATATTAAAAGCAGAGCAATTACTTTGTTATGTTTAATGTGCATTAAGCAGAAGCCCCATTGCTTTTCTGGAAATTGCATGCCACTTTCTTCCTAGTGAAAAAATGTGTTTCTTCTCATAGCAAAGCTTTAAAATGCCAATCATAGGTAGTGCTGATATGCAAATTATTTTTAATTAAAACTGTATATTTAGCCTGCCACTAAGGGGAAAAATCAGATTTTATATCTGCAACCAAATATTGATATACAAGTCAAGTATTGCTTGCAATGCAAATGAAGATGCTATTTCTACTTAAAATACATCTAGTTTCATCTCTAAAACTCCCAGTTCATTTCTTTCTCATAATTCCTCATAGATTTTCTTGAAGGCAAAAGATAAAAGATTTTGAGGGGCATTCAATTTCACAGAGAGACTTAATACATTGCTTTTAGCATATCCTAGAAACTGATGGGATTTAAAATTTTACATTTTTAATACATATTGACAGTTATGGTCCTTCCTATTATAAAGATTTAGTAGAGCTGCCATATTCTTTGCAAGTCCATATCTCCATAAGCAAGCTCTATTACCAACATATAGGTAACATACCAGAATGTTTCTTGCACAAATGTTTATGACATTTAAAAGCAAGTAAAATAACCACTATTGCCTCTAGCCCTGCTTGTGCAGTGACTTTGGATCTGTTTTATTTTATTTATATTTTTTGCTATTGAAGATACATATCTCAATTCAGAATTAGAATTCTTTCCATGTAAATGTAAGACTGGAGAAAAAAAAACCAAATGAACTGGTTTAGACATGCCTAAATATGTTAACTTGTGTGGAAATATTTGGATGATCGATCAAACAGAGTGATTTTGAACTACAGTAAGTACCATATTCTCAGTAAGGTCAAGACCATGAGAACAGCATTAGACTTCTTCGCCTTATCCCATTGCTTTCAATAGCTCAGATGCTTCATTTCCCAGTTGCCAGTCTTCCTGCTTCCCAGGGTCATCTCACCCTTTTCTTCCTTCCAGGTCCTCCCTCTTGTATTATTTTTTTCCTCAAATTTCAAAAGAACTCTTGATTACTCTGGGCTCCAATTAGACTGAAAAATGTTAAGTAAAGATGAGCAGATAAGAGTTGAGCCCAGAGCATCAGGAGCATAAGTGCTGGAAGCCTGTTTCACTTGAAAATGCTGGCTTCTACCTGTTCTGAATAATATCAAGTAAAATAATAATACCAAGTAGTAAGAAAATACGTGAGCCTTGATTTATTAGAAAAGGTAATGAATGAGCAGAATGAATCAGATCCAAATGTTTTAGCCAAATCACTGTAACTATTGAAGTCCCATGTTGTTCTCTTTAAAGTAGAAGAATTGCATTTGGGTTGCAGGTGAGAATTTCCATGATTAAATGCCTTCATATTTTATTAGGTAGGCTTTTGGTCATGGGAGCAGACACAGACTTGTCTCCTTGGTGAGAATAAGGCTGTTGTTTCATTGGAATGAACATGCTGCAGTAGAAAGATTGCACAAACCTAAGCATTGCATCAGTATGTGAGTTTGCAATATTAAAGGCTTGCTTTTAAAGGTGAAGTCCAATAAGTCTGTTTTGTTTGTGGCAAGTGTAATTGAAATCCTTAACATGCATTCATCCTTTTCAGATATAAAAAATATCCTGGAAAATGTTGGTTCAAACATCACAGCCTTTACCAAAAAGCTTCCCATTCAGGAGATTCTAACAGATTTCACGATATATCTCACTCAGAGTGAAGCGTATGTTGAAGATTATTTTCCATTAGTGGAGCAATATGATTTCTACAGGTATGTGCATATTATTTTGATGAAAAAATGCAGAGGCTATTCTATAAGTATTATTGAAGATCAATACCAGTAAAACTGTTACTTCCAGCTGAAACAAGAGGATGCCTATTACATAGTGAAAGTGGTTAGCCATATCTAGCTAAACTGGAGAAGCATAGCTGTGAGCACAATGCAAATACACAATGATCTGTAGAAAAACATGCAGGGCAGCAATATTCAAAACCAAAACATTTTAGGTCTATTTTTACTTCAGGTACATTTAAATTAGTATAAATTGCATATAACTTCAGCTGCCTTGTTCTGCCCCAGAAACTGGAAGCACTGGAAATTAGACATCTTGGAATCTAATTCTGAAATAGGCTTCTCGTGCCTAGCGATAACAAAGATCAGGAGCCAAGAAGTGAAGAATTATTACACCAGAGAGGTTCTGGTGGTCAGCAATGAGGGAGGTGCAAGAGAAACACATGTTCAGGTTCTCAAAAGTGAGACATTTTTAATCCTGCTCCTGCCCCATGAAAAGCTTTCACTTATCATGAAAACTGGTAAGTATTGGGACAAGGAAAAATGAGTGGATATATCAAATAGAGAACTGTAGATACATGTTTTTAAAAACTTGTTTGTTTTATAAACAACTAGCTGATAACCTGGCATTGCCCAGGTATTTATTTATCCCAATCCTGTATTAGACATGAAAAGCCATCGCTCAGTGTGGTGAGAATTAGAGACCTAATTGCCCTGGCCAACAGCATGGGAAAAATTCTACAGGTGATTTCTGCATTAGCAGCCACCTCCCCAGACAACTTGCCCTCTTTGCTTGAAGCTGAGGGCCTAGGGGGGTTATTTTTTGTTTGTTTGCCCCCTTGTGGAGTACTGTGAAGCCGTTACCATGGCAATTCCATTGTGATGTACATTAGAAGCCATTTTAAGGCACAACAGGCTGTATCTTAACAGAACTTGAATACAAAATGCACACTATCGCTGTATAAATATAACTATCACTATAAATATAATTCATTCCTTTTCATTTCAGCAGCCCAGGCGTTCCAGAGTTATGCTGGAACACACACACGCACACACAGACACATGCACACACACCCGAGGGGTGTTAGGGGTGTCTTACCCCCACAGTATTTTTTTCCAGAAAGTAAGTCATCTGTGTAGCAAGTTTGGTTTAAATTGCTCGAGGCATTCTAAAGTTATGCTGGAACACACACACACACACACAGACACACACACCCTGAGAGGTATTAGGGGTATGTTACTTCAACAGTATTTTTTTCCAGAGAGTAAGTCGTCTGTGTACTAAGTTTGGTTGAAAATGCTTGAGCCGTTCCAGAGTTATGCTGGAACACACACGGACACACACACACACACACACACACACACACACACACACACATCTGAGGGGTGTTAGGGGTGTGTTACCCCCACAGTATTTTTTTTCCAGAGAGTAAGTCATCTATGTACCAAGTTTGGTTGAAATTGCTTGAGCCGTTCCACAGTTATGCTGGAACACACACACACACACACACACACACACACACACACACACACACACAAACACATATACGAAGGCTGTTAGGGTTGTGTTAGCTCCACAGTATTTTTTTCCAGAGAGAAAGTCATCTGTGTAGCAAGTTTGGTTAAAATTGCTCAAGCCATTCCAGAGTTATGCTGGAACACCCACAGACACACACACACACACAACACTAGGGGTGTCTTACCCCTACAGTATTTTTTTCCAGAGAGTAAGTCATCTGTTTACCATATTTGGTTGAAATTACTTGAGCCGTTCCAGAGTTATGCTGGAATACACCCACCCACCCACCCGAGGGGTGTTAGTGGTGTGGTACCCCCACAGTATTTTTTTTCCAGAGAGTAAATCATCTGTGTAGCAAGTTTGGTTAAAATTGCTAGAGGTGTTCAACAGTTATGCTGGAACATACACACACACACACACAAAGACATCAGGGTGTCTTAGCCCCACAGTATTTGTTTCCAGAAAGTAAGACATCTGTGTACTAAATTTGGTTGAAATTGCTCGAGTCGTTCCAGAGTTATGCTCAATCGTATATATATACATACATACATAGATCCTTTTTTATATACAGTAGATACTAGCTGATTACCCAGCGTTGCCCGGGTATTTATTTATCCCAATCTTGTATTAGACAGGAAAAGGAATGAATTATATCTTTAGTGTCAAATCAAAGCAATTTTATTTACAGGGTTTTAACAAGTATAAGCACAGTTTACAACTTATAAAATAAAATGTTATTCAAATTAAGTATAATATTAATTTAAGACAAAACTTGATTATAAACAACATTTTTAGTTTCATCTCCAGGAGCAAGAATAAATAAATTCTGTGGTGAACCCACCCTTCAGCAAGCAACATAAAGTTATCCGTGGGAGAAACATGGTGATCTCAAACCCACTCCACAGTACTTAATAGACTGACCCTGTGACTTATTGATCGTGATTGAGAATGCAAGTCTCAATTTTTTTCCAAAAATTTTTCAATTTTTTTTCCAGAGAGTAAGTCATCTGTGTACCAAGTTTGGTTGAAATTGCTTGAGCTCTTCCAGAGTTATGCTGGAACACACAAACGGGTTTAGGGGTGTCTTACCCCCACAGTATTTTTTTCCACAGAGTATGTCATCTGTGTAGCAAGTTTTGTTAAAATTGCTCAAGGAATTCCAGAGTTATGGTGGAACACACAGAGACACAGAAACACGCACACACACTAGTGTTGTCTTAACCGCACAGTATTTGTTTCCAGAGAATAAGTCATCTGTGTACCATGTTTGGTTGAAATTGCTTGAGCCGTTCCACAGTTATGGTGGAATACAGACACACACACACACACACCCCGAGGGGTGCCTTACCCCTACAGTATTTTTTTTCCAGAGAGTAAATCATCTGTGTACCAAGTTTGATTGAAATTGCTCAAGCCATTCCAGAGTTATGCTATATATAGATAGATTCAGTATTTCCTGTTTGGATAGTTCCAGTCTTGACAAAACTTTAAATAATGTTTTGGCTCTTAAATTTCCTTTAAATCTTTGAAACCCTATAATCTATTTTTAAATCTTCAGTTGCACAGCACCGTTAATAGTGTTTCTTGCCATTAATATGCAAAGAAGAGCTTATTGGCAGCACAGAATATCCATACAACTCAGTGGTGAAATCCAAATTTTTTTACTACTGGTTCTGTGGGTGTGGCTTGGTGGGCGTGGCATGGCTTGATGGGCATGGCATGGTGGGCATGGCAGGGGAAGGATACTGCAAAATCTCCATTCCCACCCCACTCCAGGGGAAGGATACTGCAAAATCCCCATTCCCTCCCCACTCGGGGGCCAGCCAGAGGTGGTATTTGCCGGTTCTCTGAACTACTCAAAATTTCTGCTACCGGTTCTCCAGAACCTGTCAGAATCTGCTGGATTTCACCCCTGATACAACTGCTATTAATGTTTTATTAGCAGCAAATAATACAAACTTGGATTATGTAGAACCAGCTATAATCTTCCAAGTCCACTTTTGCAATAGGGAGAGATCCTCAACATCCAACTTCCACAAGCTAAGCTAAACTTGTACTTTTATCCTTGTCCAGGCTTCTCAAATTGAATGTATTCCTTTAACCATTTAATTTTACAGTGTATTTGTTCATCTTCATTCCTTTTATTAAAAAGGTTCTAAAATGCAAGAAAACTTTAAGTCTAATTCTAATACTCTTGAATGAGAATAGGAAATTTAGAGAAATGTGGTTGGCTCTTGATTGATCTTGGAATCATCTTTTTGTTACTCTGTTTAGGTGGCTGGCCTGCTTAATCCTATGCTGCATGGTGATCCTGATCCTGGTCTTTTTCTACCTGGGATTATTATGTGGTACGTGTGACTATGACAAAAATGCAACACCAACAACCAGAGGCTGTGTCTCAAATACTGGAGGAAATTTCCTGATGGCGTGAGTTCTTGCCCTTTTAATCTTTTCCCCAGGTTAAGATAATTGCATTGAAGAAATATACTTGGACGATAAAATGCAAAAAAAGAAGACGAGAAGGAGGAGGAAAACTTTGCCTTGGTTTTTACTGAGAACATTATAGAACTTTGGAGTTACATTCACTTTCTATGTGTATATATGCAACCACGTGAACTAGTCCTTGTACTTTTCTAGGCAAGGTCTTTTGGAAGTCATTTGCCATTGCCTCTTTCCTAGAGATGAAAGAGAGGGACTGGCCCACCTCATCCAGCTGGCTTTGTGCCTACAGTAGGACTAGAACTGAAGGTCTTGTAGTTTTTAGCCTGATGCCTTAACCACTGACTCTCTAGTTCTTATGTTAACTGTATTTAACTAACTTTAATTCAACTAAATATATGTAAATTAAAGCAGGTACAATTGTGGTGCCTGGCCCTACCTATAGCCTAAAGCAATCATAAACTCACAAGAGGTGTCATATTCCAGATTTAAAAAATTATGTTGGTCACTTTAAGGTGGTAACCATTCCAATGACTCACCCATGAAGAGATCTTACTGATATGCAAAAGCAGAAGCAGCATCTCATTAAATGGAGTTAAATGGAATATTTTAGTGTATTCTCTGAAAAGGAGGAATCCATCTTATTTTTATATGTAAGATGGACCCTTTAACAATCTTTTGATAAAAACACCTTTTCTAAATAGTAACTTCTTGTGAATTGTAAACAATTAAAAAACACTTCTTCAATTGTAAAAAATATACTACAGACTTACAATTCCCTAAAAAACAAGCCTTTCGAAACCTACCTGAACTTCTGGTAGAATAAAGAGAGATGCCCTTTGAATGCTCTCTCAGAATATAGTAGTGCTTTAATAGAATTGTGGAAGAAATGCTAAACCTTCTCATATGAGATTCAAAATTCTTGTATTTTAGAAGTTTTGCATTCTGTCCTGCTGTTTTTACAGATTCTCAAGCAAAGCTATTTCAGCAAAGAAGATTCTACATTGTTCCTTCTCCTTACTTACAGACTTATTTTTGAACTGGAAAATCATTGCATACTTCTGAATTAATAGATGTTCTTAAATTGTTTTCCTTAGTCTAAATTGGCTGTTAAAATACTTACAAGAGGATGTACAGTATTCTTAAAATGCTTTTTCTTGTCTCTCTCCCCCCCCCCCCAACTACCACCCCTTCTTCCATCAGTGGAGTTACTTTCAGCTTCCTCTTCTCCTGGGTTCTGATGCTGACAGTGGTGGTCACTTTCATTGCCGGTGGAAATATGGAGAAGCTGATATGTGAATCGTTTGATGACAAGACTTTATTCCAAGTAGGACACTCTATATAATCATGGATTTCCATATCTTTTCTGATCATTCTAATGTTTGTTATGCACTTGTTACGAGTAAATGCCTAACTGTGTATACACCATTGCATAGACTGACCCACTGATCCCTTCTCCCTCACTTAGCCCTTCCCATAACCCCTCCTTACCTTGACTCCACCTCCTCCATATATAAGGCTGTGCGCAGAAGTCCAGGACCAGTTCCAAATGAGTACCTGAATAGAAAGAAATGGAGTAAATAAATGCATTGAACTCAAAGCCTATCGTGTCTGTGATTATTGGGCAAGATCCTTGGAAAACTTACTTATCAAAATGGCAGCAGAGGACGGTTATGCCCAATAAACAGAACCAAAATCGGAAATGGAAGGAAGGATGAACACAAGGTCCACCACCAGGCTGATGGCAGAGATGGAGGAACTGGACCAAACAAACAGAAGCGTGAGGCCAAAAGAAAGTGCAGCCAGGCACGCCAGAGACAGATCACCCGAGAGAGATGAACTAAAGGACATCATACAGAAAATGATAGAAGCCTCCATAAGCAAGGATGAACTCATCGCGAAGCTTCGGGACCTTCTAGATGACCAGGGAGCAGCGATGAGCCCCCAGGAGCAAGACCACGAGGCTGCCAGACCGGTAAGACAGAGATACCCCCTGCCAGAGGCCCAAGAGCCAAACGGTTCCATTTTCGTGCCATGCTCTGGGCGGCCATCTTGGGATGGCCACCGACCAATAGGGAGCCAGGATTCAAATCCAATGGCGGGAAATGAAAGAAACCCCAGAACAAATGGGGGAACAGCCAAAAGCACCCCAGAAGGGACACACCAAGGCATCTGGAGCTCACCTCCCGAGCTCGAAGCCAGAAAGACACCCGAGGCCCCAGCAGCCGCGATAGGCCCTGCACGCAACCCCTCCATGCCAGCCATGCACCCCAGAGACACCGCCGCGAACCGAGGGGGCTACGGGGGGGCCATCGATGATAGCACACACCCCCAGATACTCCACACGATGACCAACCCCCACGAAGACAACCGCAGGGCACCAACTATGCTTGAATCATGCAGATGGCAGGACTCGAACCCAGCACCCGCAGCACCAAGCATAAGAGGCCCGAAGGGAAGAGGCCACACCTGCTACTCAACCCCCATGCGGCCTCCGCCCGGCCTACTCACGTGCCCAGGGACCAGCAATCAAGGATCGGGGCCCACCGCAGCCGCCACGCCTCAGAACCCCAGAAGTCCTCGACTTACGACCTCCTCGCCTCTCTCCAGCCCCCTGCATGGATCCGGACGCCCAGCGATGAATGCCTGCCTCCAGAGATGAAGCTGGACACCCCAGGAGTGAGATGGGACCCCCAACTGGAGGCCTAGGCCGAGGCCTAAGAGCAGCAACAGCCAGCTACTCCCCCATCGACTACAGTAGCGAAATGGGCCTCGCACGTGCTCAGTCGGCTCCAGCAAGAAGAGAAGGAGGGAACATAAATCCAAGTCTGTACAGAGCTGCAAACTGCATACCCAAGCCATATTGTGAGTTCCCTCACCTGAGACACCATGGGCAGCAACAGACTGTGAGTAATTCATCACACAACTCAGGGAATTTACCAGCTAACTTTCCCACTCTTAAATTAGACGGATCGAACCTCATGCAGTGGAATCACCAACTCCAGGTTTTATTTTTAAAAGAGGATCTACTGTTTTTAGTTGATGACCCCCCCCACAAAACCTTGGACTTTAGAAACAGATTGCTTGCATCACAGGGCTTACTATTTAATTATAGCAAGTATCCCACCAGGTGTATACCCCAGCCTAAGCCATTATCTGACTGTGTCTGAGATATAGCAGAGAATATTTAATCTGTTCTATAGTAAAAGCGCTGCCACCACAGCAAGGATATCCAGGGAATTCCACTCTGCCAGGCATAAAGCAGGGACTCCCATGGGTGAACATATACTGAACCTGAATGCCACAAGGACTGAACTGATACAAAGGGGGGAGGATATATCCGAAGAGAGCATGAAGAGCATAGTCATCAACTCCCTGGACTCCAGCTGGGACAATTTTATAATGCAGCTGGATAGCATAGGCTTAGGCCACCTCACACTCGAGTCACTGACAAATAGGATAATAGCAGAAGATAGCTTAAGGAGGGACCGCTCCATCAGCCGCAGGGACAGCAGGCCAACTAAGAAAGTTGAGTTCCAAACCAGGAACCTAGACTACCCAGAATGCTTCACTTGTGGCTCAAAGAATCACTACAAACGGGATTGCCCAAGAAACTCAAGGGGAAGGAACCACACCTACCAAAGGGAAAGGGAAGGCAGGAAGCTGGGGCTCCCCGATAGATCCCCATCAGACAACAGATACAGGCGCAGAGACTCCCCCGACCCAAGGAACAGAAGGGGAAGTAGGGACAGCTCTAGGGAGAGCCGACCAGGGTCCATGTATGGGATCGGGGAGAACACACACTCACAAACCAGAGAAGGAGAAGCATGGCTCATCGACTCGGGAGCCACCAACCACACAACTCATGACATAAAGATACTGACCTCATTCACAGAGGAAAACTACCACATTAAGGTGGCCAATCAAAACAGGGTCCTAGTGACAGGGAGAGGAAACACGTTCATAAGCGGAATAGGCAAAGTAGAGGGGGTATTACTCATACCTGAAATACCCCACAACATTTTAGCACCGCTTAAACTGAGCAAGGACATGGGCATAGAGACCACCTTCAAAGAGGGAGAAGCCTACCTGACCAGAGACAGGGAAAGCATCGGCAAAATAGTCATTAATGGAGGGCTAACATACCTCCACCCTAAAAAGAATAACCAGACCCAAGTTATCGCCCAACTAGAAAACACTGAGAATAGAGTCAACACACATGTTGAGGCAGAGGGGGGCAGGGAAGACGACCCCACCGAAGGCAACACGACACACAGAGGGAAATTGCTAATAGGCAAACCCATTCACGATGACTGCGCCCATTTGCTACACAGAAAATTGGGCCATGCCAGCTTCCCAGTCATCCAAAAAATGACAGAATGTACCAGTGATTTGAAAATAAAAAACTGCAAAAACTACTTAGAGTGTTCTATATGTAAATCATCTAAGTTAAAAACCAAACCCAGACCTAGAAAAGCCACCCGTACTACCAATTCTATCTTCCACCTGGTACATATGGACATTGTGGGCCCCATGAAACCCTCTATAAAATACAAAAGGAGATATTTTCTGACAATAGTAGACGACTACAGCCGCTATGGCTTTGTGTATACCATTAATCATAAAGACGAGGTATTCCAAAAATTTAAAGAGTTTTATAAGAGAGTGGAAACGCAACACAACACAAAGATAAGGCAAATAATGACAGATAGGGCGTCTGAGTTCTTATCGAGGGAATTCTCGAACTGGTCAAAGATGCACGGGATAATACACTACAAGACTTCTCCCTTTTCCGCGTTCCAAAATGGAGTCGCAGAGAAGAGGAATGGAGTCCTACAAACAATGATGAGATGCGCCCTAGAGGATGCGGGGTTAGGACAGCCATTCTGGGCGGAAGCTCTCAACTACTCAAATTATACGCTGAACAGACTCTGGTCTAGCGTAATAGGGAAAACACCTTATGAGGTGATGTACGACCGAAAACCAAAGATTGCGCACCTGCACATATTTGGAGTCACGGCGGATGTGCACATCCCCAGGCAACTGAGGCGAAAAGGAGACAAGGTCTCCAGGAGATTAAGGTTCATGGGGTATGAACCAGGCACAAAAGGCTATAGATTCATTGACAGGGACAACAGGTTCATCGTATCCAGAACAGCGGTGTTCCACGAGAACGCCAACTGGTCTAAGATACACCTCAACGAGACACTCATCAGACAGGAAGACACAAACGAATCAAGGGACGAAAGCAAACCCATCACATTAGAAGCAAATACACAAGACAGACAAAGACCAAGACACCATGAGGTAGCCACCAAGGGATGGAAGGAAGACCACCCCATCATCAAGGTAGACACGGTCACAGAGAAGGAGGCCAAATACATGCACGACACCGACACAAGACCCATGAGACCTATCAGACCCAACAGAAACAAAATGCCCAAGAGGTTTAAAGATTATGTCATGTCCATTCACCCAAATAGAACAACACACAACTCATACGAAGAAATCATTAGTCTGCCGCAGGTAGAGAGAGATAAGTGGGAGCAAGCTATGGAAAGGGAGATGGCTAGCCTGGGCGAACTGAACGTGTACACCCCCTCTAAGGTCCCAGCCGATAAGACACTCATAGGCACGAAGTGGGTTTTCAAAATCAAGGAACTCGAAGACAACAAGGCCCTCTACAAGGCTAGGCTCGTAGCTCAGGGGTTCGCCCAAAGGTATCCAGACGACTACACGGATACCTACTCACCCACAGTTAGGGCAGAAAGTGTCAAAAGCGCCCTAGTAGTTGCATCTATCTTAGGCCTAGAAGTCTACCAATTTGACGTTCAAACCGCATACCTCCATGCGAAGTTAGACAAAGAAATATATGTCAGGGCACCCCCAGGGAAAGGCGCGAAAGAGGGAGTCACTTGGCTACTAAACAAAAGTTTGTACGGTTTAAGACAGTCCGGGGAAAGATGGTATGAATGCCTAGCCAAAACACTCAGGGACATGGGTTTTACTGCCACATCAGCAGACCTCTGCCTCTTCGTCAAGAGGGAGGGCACATCGATCGAATACGCACTCGTTTACGTAGACGACATCCTGTACATGGGGCAGCACAAGCAAAATTGCGATAAATTCGCCAGAGAACTGGGGAAACAATTCACACTCAAGACCCTAGGGAAAGTCAATAAGTATCTAGGAGTACAAATCGAGAAAACAGAGAACAGGTTCAAGGTTTCTCAAAAGGAGAAAATATTAGAACTTATACACAGATGCAACATGAGGGACGCTAAGCCATGCGAAACCCCCATGCAAACAGACTTCTTGAAACATATGCACGAAGAGGGGGAGTCATTTAAGGATAACACCTTGTATAGATCTGTCATTGGATCCCTCCTGTATATTGCCAATTGGACAAGGCCCGATATCAGCTTAGCTGTTAATTTATTATCCAGGCATGTCAGTGAACCCAAGGCATACCACTGGGAAGGGGTGAAGCGAGTAATCAGGTACCTGAAACATAGCATAGACACGTACCTATGCCTGGAACCATCCAAATCCAAAGAACCGGCGCTGACCTGCTATGCGGACGCTGACTGGGTAGGTGATACCAAGAGCAGGAAAAGCACATCAGGTTACATGTTCCTTATCAATAACTGCCCGGTACACTGGTATACTGGCAAACAGAACCTGGTTGCCACATCCACGGCAGAAGCAGAGTACATCTGCCTATCAAAGGCAGCTAACAATTTAGTGTGGTTCGATGATCTGCTCTCTGAAATATGGACCGAACCGGCTTATCCTATAACTATCCACGAGGACAATAAAGCAGCCATAGACATCTCCAACGCAGAAGCAGTGGGTCAGAGATCCAGACATATCGACATCAAGCATAAGCATGTCAGGCAGTTATCAAATGTAGGTTTTATTAGGGCCGAACATTGTGAAACCTCTGAGCAAGTCGCGGACATTCTAACGAAACCATTACCAAACAAGCAACACACACATCTCACATCAAAACTAGGGGTGACCATGCCGGGCACAGAATCAACCCCGAATGTTAGGCATTTAGAGGGGAATTTGTTACGAGTAAATGCCTAACTGTGTATACACCATTGCATAGACTGACCCACTGATCCCTCCTCCCTCACTTAGCCCTTCCCATAACCCCTCCTTACCTTGACTCCACCTCCTCCATATATAAGGCTGTGCGCAGAAGTCCAGGACCAGTTCCAAATGAGTACCTGAATAGAAAGAAATGGAGTAAATAAATGCATTGAACTCAAAGCCTATCGTGTCTGTGATTATTGGGCAAGATCCTTGGAAAACTTACTTATCAGCACTTGTAAAACATTCAAAATTCTTCATAAAATATCCTGTCAGATGTGCCAGTATGACATCTCTAATAAAATGGAACTTTGAGGAAATGCCTGCCTCAGAGTCTTACTTAGTTGGGGGTGTTACTTGGAACCCTGACATATTCTGCATGTTCATACAACATGTAAGGCCATAATTTAATTTTGTTGTAGATGAGCAGTGTTCAATCTCTGTTTGTTCCATGAAATGCACAGCTAGAAAATGACAGGTCACTTCTGGGTCATTAACCACCTCATTTTGCTTCTTTCTTTGGCTTTTTCTGTGAGTGGAACAAACCCAAGTTCTTGATTCAGAATTATAACCAAGCCACAGCTGGAAACATCTGTGGATTGTTAGCTATGCCTGTCCACAAACCAGGGGTGAAATGCTACGGTTCGCCTAAACCGGTAGTAAAAAATGCTACTGGTTCGCTGAACCGGTGCAGTAAAAAAATGTAAAAAAAAAAAAAGTCCTGATAATCAGCTGAGCGACGCGCGATCATCAAAGCATTTTTTTTATTACCTGTTCGGGTGAATAGGTAGTAAAAAAATGCTTTAAAAAAGTAAAAAAAAAGGCTTGGACGATTGCATGGCACAGCTGATTCCCCCCCCCCCCCCGTTGCTGTTCTACTTACCTTCCCAAGCTTCCTTTTGGTGTGTATTGTGCATGCACAGTTTGGTGCAAACTGTGCATGCACACACACAGCGTGCGCTTGGCATGCAGCACACATGCACGGCCAGCAAACCAGTAGCAAACTGGTTCAGATTTCACCACTGCCACAAACCAGCAAGTAGGAAGTGACAGCATGCCTAACACAGCGGCCCCCAACCATTTGGGTACCAGGGACCTGTTCTGTGGAGAGAGGTTTTTCCGCAGACCAGAGGGGGCATGGTTTTGTGTGCTGCCTGCATTCCACAGATGGGTTTCACTTGTTTTCATGGCCCGGTTGTTGGCATGCCACCAACTGGGACCAGTCCATGGACCGGGGTTGGGTACCCCTACCCTAACATATAATTTATTGTGGTACCAAGTTATAGCTTGAGGTAGATGTAAGACAGTCATTATTGTATCACCTTTAAAGCATTCCTGTAAAGTAGATGGTGATATTATTAGCCATATATTACAAATGAGGAAACAAGTTTGAAAGAACTTCTTGGAAGAAATTAGATATGAACTGGATTCCCCAGTTTTTCAGTCATTCCAAGTTATTACTTTTGCTTAAATAACTTCACTTGATCTAAACTAAGTTCCTATATTGTGCTTCAATAAGGGTTAATGAATAATATGGCCTCTAAAAACACTGTAAATTTGCCACTCTGTGAAATATTACCATTATGTTTGGGAAATGGGTATTATATAATGTAGCGTTCAGTGATCTTGTTACTTGCAAAACAAGTTATAGTAAAAAGAAACCCCGAAATTTCTGAGTACAGGTAGTCCTCGACCTACAACAGTTTCCTTAATTGACTGTTCAAAGCAACAATGGCACTGAAGAATGTTGTCTTATGACCGTTTTTCACAGTTAGGACTGTTGCAGCATTCCCATGATCATGTGATCAAAATTCAGATGCTTGGTAACTGGTTCATATTTATGACCATTGTTGTGTTCCAAGGTCATGTGATCACATTTTGCGACCTTCTCACAAGTGTCAATGGGGAAGCCAGATTCACTTAACTGGGTTACTAACTTATCAGCTGTAGTGATTCACTTAACAACTGTGGCAAGAAAGGTCATAAAATGGGGCAAAACTCACTTAACTAATGTCTCACTTAAAACCAGAAATTTTGGGGCCAATTGTGGTCGCAAATCAAGGACTACGTGCATTGTTTGTAGAAGCCAAATTAGATTTATAAATCAATCTTCTTTAAATTGCATTTTAGATTTTGGACACACCCTACTTGCTTAATCGGCAGTGGAAACACTATTTATCTGGCATCATTCTGAAAAACCCAGATATTGACTTGACATTTGAAAAAGTTTACAGGTAAATTTTCACTCTTTTCTGCTCCTATTGTATAATTAAGTTTCTCTGAGATTGCATGTATAGCTTCAACCATCTGAAAATGAAATATCTCCCAATTTGCCTCCTGCACTTTCTGCATCATCCCCTTCTTCCCTCCATAACTGGAACAGCCAGGAACCACCTCCTCTTCTTGACTGTAGTGGTGGAAGGGATTCTTCTTCCCTTTTGTCCATTTCCATAGCAATAAAGTGTCCAAATGGATGCTTGACCTTACCCCTTTTTCTGACTTTCTGGCTGACTTCTCTTCTTCAGCTAGAACTGGGAAAATCCTCAGTTTCAATGTAGTCTCTTGCTCTCACTTTTGTTCTTTTGGGTGATGAACTGTCTTCCAGTTTGGGACCCCCAGAAGTATGGTTTCTGATGATCATGGACTTTCTTAAATTCTGTGCTCTAATAATATAATAGAGTGCAAGGATGTCCTCATGTCAGACTTCCTCTGGTACGAAAATTACAGAAGTATGCTTCCTGAATTCTGTGCGTGATCAGGAATGTCCTGTTTTGCAGGAATGATTCAGGGATCTCTTATAGATACAGCAGTTCTAAGAAGAAAAGAATTTCCAGTGCTAGAATCAATCAACTTAGATAATTGGTTGTTTTTGTGAATTTGAAAATGTTGACAAGTGAGCAGAAAGATAATACTGAAGCCATTTTCAAACAACATTTTCAAAGATTCTGAGGAAACTTCTTGTTACAGTGTGATGACCCCAGTAAAACTCATTCTTTAAGGTTTGCATTTCTTTGGTCAGAAAGTATTTGATAACTTTCTCCATCTTCATAAACGTTCAGCCATTCATTGGGATTAAACTGACACTTTGTCTCTACATATATAGCTACATAGACCAAATCAAGATTAAATTGATTTGTAAACTCTTGTGGAATTCAGTCTCCAAAACAACACAAAGCAACAAATTCTACCTGGCATAATCCCTCTGCCATTTCTGAGATTCAGATTTACAGTTGAACCTTACGGTTTCATTAATGACTTCCTTTTTAATTTAGGTGTTACACTTTCAAATTTATGCTCATATTTTGCAGTGATATTTATTTAAGTTGGATGTTGTTTCCTTAAGTTGTAGTTTCTTAATAAGAGAAAGAAGGTCAATGTCAAGTTTGAACCACTTTGCTCCTTTCAAACCTTAACACTTTTCAACTTGCTAATGAACTGGGGGAGGGAAGGGGGAAATAGAATGCTGAGATTGTGTGCGTGGACTATGAAAGTCTGGCAACCATCAAGGTCACCACTGCAGGTGCTTGAGAAGGAGATGGACTGATGTAGTGGCAGAAACTCAGGCTCAAGCGGTCCCACAGGTGATGGTGCTGTTGCCGGATTATGTGCTGGTTTGGGATGACCGAGAAGCCCCGCCTTTGAAAGCCATGTTTGATGGGCAGCTGGAGAATCTAGCCTATTTCCTGAACCAGGAACTACTTGGAGCAATATGAAGCAATGCACCTGGACAAAGTTGCCTGCATGAACACAATTACTTTGAATCTAGAAGGAGAGGCAGCAGTCTGGGTGGTATTCCTCCATGACGAAGGGCCTTCCTGGATGAGCTTCGAGCTATATTTGGAGACCCTGCCCAAGCCCGTCAAGCAGAATCTGGGATCTGCACTATAAGGCGAGGGAGTAGACCAGTAGCCAAATACATTCGGGAGTTCTGCAGCCTTGCTGGGAAGCTGAAAGGATGGCTGGAATTCTTGCTGTTCTGTCACTTCCGAGACAGACTAAACAAGGAACTGTACCAAAGCTGCCTGCCCCAGGGAATTCCAGACAATGTAAGGGCATGGTACCGGCTGGTGACCACAGTGGAGCTAGACCTGTTGGAGTACCAGCAACACACAGCGCATGAGGGTCATCCCTGACAAGGCCAAGAGAGACGCTTGCTGGCATGCAAGAGGCCAACAGCCCCTCCCTTGACCCCAAAGGAGATTCCACAGCACCTTCCCGGAGCCTGCTTCCGATGTGCAAAAGAGGGCCATTGGGCTGCCAATTGCCTAGCCCCGCAACCCATATCAGCGCTGAGGGTTCCAAGTCAATAGAAGCCAAGAAGGTGCTGAGGAAGATGAAGGAGAAGACGTGGGTGGTGCAACAGGTCGTGAGGTCTCTCCTCCCTCCAGTGAGGGGGAGGGAACTGTGACCCTCAGCAAGCCCAACCTGGTCTTCTATGAGAATGACAGCAAGGGGAGGGTGATCCAATGGTAAGTGGAACCATCGCCCCTTTAACTGCCCAGGTGGAAGATGTTAGTGTCCCACTCAGGAGCAAGGGAGGGTCTTCACTGCCCTTGTAGACTCGGGTTGCACCCACTACTTGGGTAGCCTATGAACTGAGGAAAAGATGGGACTGAAACTTAAAAAATTGAGGCAGCCTATGAAGTTTGAACAATGGCTCCCTCACTGGGGGGATTCCCCACCACATGCCTAACTGAGCCAGTAAGCCTGAAGGCAGGGAGCCACAATGAGATAATTCGCTTTATAGTAACCCCAAAAATGGCAGAGACTATGATATTGGGATTGGCATAGCTGAAAAAGTGGGATCCAGTGGTGGACTGGAAGGATTACAAGAGGCGCTTGAAGAGTGAAGCAGGCAGATTGCAATGCATGGGGATGACACACAAAGGTGGTGAAACACTGTTGGTGGGGAGGGAAAACATAGAATCCATGAATGCACTAGCTGAAAGTGGCCAAGTGGGGCCAGTAATCCCAAAGGAGTACCAGGACCTAGCTGAAGCATTTAGCAAACAGGAATTAGACATATTCCCTCCCCATCACCCCACTGGCTGTGCCATTGAAATACTGCCTGGGGCAAAATTACCCAAACCAAAGATGTACTCAATGACCCCAAGGGAGGGGGAGGAGCTCAGAAGCTTCATGGATAAAAATCTAGACAGGGTGTCAACTTGCAAAGCTTTCAAGTTGCCATGAGCAGGAGGGAGGGAGAACTGAAGTGAATTCCATACATTTTTCTGATCGCACTCAGAAGGAGGGTGTTAGGTTTCACAGCCAGCCAAAGTGGTTAATTGGAGAATGTGATTTATGACATGGCCAGGGAGGAGGGGAGAGACAGGGTCATAAGGGAACATAAATCTACGTGGGGTCAGTCCTGACTAATCCGAGTATTGCCGGAATGGTGCTCCTAATAAATCACTATATTTCCTTTGAAGTTTGGATCATGGCTCATGAATTAATTAGGGCATCTTTCGGAAACTTGACATAGGGACTTCATCCAACTGGCAAAATCTAGGATGGCAGCTCTGATACTCTTCAAAGAAAAGAAAGATGGGTCTTTGAGATTATGTATGGATTTTCGAAGAATTAATGGGGTCTGTGTGGAAAACATGTCACCCTTCCCACTTATGCTGTGATATCTGGCCAAGGGAAGGATGTTCAGCAAGCTGGACTTGAGAGAAGCGTACTACCGAGTGAGGATTAAAGAGGACGACAAGTGGAAAGCAGCTTTCAATTGTCCCTTAGGGTGTTACCAATTACAGGTGATGCCTTTTGGGCTGCAGGGAGCACCCATGGTATTCACGCAACTGATAAACGAAATACTGCATGAGCACCTGTATAAGGGGGTGCTGGTATACCTGTACAATATTTTCGTTTATTCTGAAACGATGGAAGTTCACGTAAAGTTAGTGAAGAAAGTGCTAAGGAAACTATTGAAAGCCAAGCTCTACACTAAAAATATCCAAATGCGACTTCCACAAAACCAGTTTGAATTACTTGGGGTACCGCGTGTCCAGCGAGGGAGTGGAGATGGACCCTGGAAAGGTGAAAGCCATACTAGAATGGGAAGCTACCCAGACCAGAAGGCAACTACAGAGTTTCTGGGGCTTTGCCATCTTCTACTGCCAATTTATCCCCTCATTCGCACAGATAGCCCTCCCTATCACTGAATTACTAAAAGCGGGCAGAAGAGGGGTGAAACCTAAGCCTAGCCAGCTGCTTAACTGGACTATGAAATGCCAAGAGGCTTTTGAAAAGCTCAAGCAGATTTTTGCGGGGAGCCAACCCTTAAACACCCAAATCCAGAGGAACCATTTGTAATACAAGCCGATGCTAGCAATGTGGCAGTGCAGGCTGCTTTGTTCCAAGGAAATACGAAGGGGACACTGCAACCCTGCATCTACACTTCCCAGAAATTGACTGACACCAAAAGACATTGGGCGGTATGTGAAAAAGAGGCGTATGCTGTTTGATGGATGTTACTGACTTGGAGACAATTCCTGGAGGGTAGTAAGATCCCTTTCAAAGTGTGGACTGATCACAAGAATTTAGAAGCCCTAAAAACCTCAAGGAAGCTGTCCCCTAAACAAGTACGATGGGCTCAGTACTTTAATAGATTCAATTTCACCCTTTGGTACTTGCCAGGATTTCATAGAATTTATTTGCTGATGTGCTCTCTTGGATTCCCCAATACAAAAGTATCTGGGAGGAAATAGTTAACTCCATTATCCCCTCCTGGTAACTGGCAGCGCAGGATTCTGTGAGGCAGCAGCCACTAGCCACTCCTCAGCCGGCTGATAGTGCTCTGACCCAATGGCTAAAGGAAGCCCTGAAAGAAGATCCATGGTTCAAGGACCACAAAAACAAGCTGATGATGAGAGAGGACCTAGTGTGGAAGGGAGACAAACTGTATGTTTCAGCCAGCCAGAGGACCCAGATCCTACAAAGAACCGACAACAAAGCTGGCAGGCTACTTCGGGTTTGTAAAGACCCTTCACTTAGCTAAGAGGCTGTTCTGATGGCTCAAGATATAGAAAGATATAGAAAACTATGTAACCAACTGCCCGATATGTGCGTCCTTGAAGTGATTGCCAGGGAAGACTCCTGGGTTTCTACAGCTGGTGGCCAACCCCCTCAGACCATGGGAAGAAATCGCCATGGAGTTTATAGTAGAATTGTCTGAGTAATGGGAGTACTCTGATTTGGATAGTGGTTGATCTGTTTTCAAAGCAGGTACACTTCATTGCATATCCAAAGCTTCCCTCAACCCGGAGTCTGGCCAAGATGTTTGTGCAGCACATCTATTGGCTGCATGGAGTCCCAAGGCGCATCATTTCAGACTGGGGAATGTAGTTTACAGCAAAGTTTTGGTGAGAGTTCATAAAGCAAATAAGGTCAATCCAGGGACTTTGTTTGGGGTTCCATCCAAGTACTAATGGGGTGGTGGAACGAGCTAACATAATAGTGAAGCAATACCTATGTTCAGTGGTGGAATTCAAATTTTTTTACTACTGATGTGTGGGCGTGGCTTGGTGGGCGTGACAGGGGAAAGATACTGCAAAATCTCCATTCCCACCCCACTCCAGGGGAAGGATATTGCAAAATCTCCATTTCCACTCCACTCCAGGGGAAGGATACTGCAAAATTGGTTCGGGGGGGGGAGAAATTGTCCCCCTCAGAACGGGCTTGCAGTTTGGGTGTCCTCCTAGACTCACAGCTAAGATTAGAGCAACATCTGACAGCTGTGGCTAGGGGGACCTTTGCACAGGTTTTCCTAGTGCACCAATTGCGACCTTACTTGGATCGGGAGGCTCTCCTCACAGTCACTCATGCCCTTGTCACCTCACGGTTAGATTATTGCAACGCGCTCTACATGGGGCTACCCTTGAAAAGTGTTCAGAGACTAAAGTTGGTCCAGAACGCAGCCGCGCGAGCTGTCGTGGGTGCACCTAGGTACACCCACATTACACCAATTCTCTGCGAGCTGCACTGGCTCCCTATTGGTCTTCAGTCACAATTCAAGGTGTTGGTTATTACCTTTAAAGCCCTACATGGCTCAGGGCCAGGTTATCTTTGAGACCGCCTTCTACCGCATAGCTCCCAGCGACCGGTAAGATCCCACAGAGTTGGTCTCCTCCGGGTCCCGTCAGCTAAACAATGCCGACTGGCGGGCCCACCGGGAAGGGCCTTCTCTGTGCCCCAGCTCTCTGGAACCAGTTACCTCCTGAGGTCCGGACCATCCTCACCCTATTGGCCTTCCGAAAAGCGGTGAAGACCTGGCTTTTTCAGCAGGCCTGGGGCCATTGATCTCGCTCTTGCGATCCAGCGAGATCTGGCCATGAATGGTATGAATGAGTTTTAATGTTTTTAATGTTTTTAATTTTTAAATGTTTTTTATTAGGATTTTAAATGTATTGTGAGTCGCCCTAAGTCTTCGGAGAGGGGCGGCATATAAATTGAATTAAATTGAAAATTGAAATTGAAAATCCCCATTCCCTCCCCACTCCTGGGGAAGGATTTTGCAAAATCTCCATTCCCACCCCACTCTGGGGCCAACCAGAGGTGGTATTTGCCGGTTCTCTGAACTACTAAAGTTTCTGCTACCGGTTCTCCAGAACCTGTCAGAACCTGCTTAATAGCACCCCTGCCTATGTTGCTATGTAAACTACCAACAAACAAACTGGGCAGAGCTCCTACCTTTTGCTTTTAATAACTTAGTGCATAGTAGTACTGGGTTCACCTCCTTTAAAGTAAGTACTGGAGTTGAGTTTGTGCCAATGACAGAATTTCCAAGGGAACCTCCTCCCTCAGTAACATTAGCTGAATGGATGGACACTCTAAAAGCTGCCTGGGAAAATGTGCAGAAAGCCCTGAATAAAGCCAGGGAGTCACAAAAGAAACAGGCAGACTGGAAAAGAGCCCTCCAGAAGGAGTTCAGCACTGGGGAAAAAGTATACATATCTACTAAATACCTGAGGCTTGAACCAACCTTGTAAGAAACTGGGTCCCAAGTACTTAGGTCTGTTCCCAGTTGTTCAAATTATAAATCCAGTTATAGTGGAATTATGGTTACCGAAGGTGCTCAAGCAAGTCCACCCAGTGTTCCACTATAGTTTCTTGAAATCCTTCCAAGACTCTAAGTTAAGGCCAGTCAAAAGGGAGCTTCTGCCTCCCATTGTAATGGGAAGGGGAGGAATATATGAGATCAAGGAGATACTGGACTTAAGTTACTTTAACGGGAAATTACAATACTTAGTGCAGTGGAAAGGATATCCCTCAGCTGATGCTGAGTGGGTAGGGACCCATAATATTAGCGCAGACATGTTAGTAAGAAGGTTCCATGCAAAATACTCTCAACGACCGAGGAGATTATTAAAGGCTAAGTCTACCTAGGTAACAGTGTTAATGTATGCTTAATATTTTCCAGGTATCCTTTTCTTCAGGGGGTCAACATGTCAAGATTGAACCACTTTGCACATTTCAAACTTTAATTCTTTTCAACTTGCCAATGAACTGGGGGAGGGAAGGGGAAAATAGAATGCTGAAATTATGTGCGTAGACCGTGAAAGCTTGGCAACCATTCAGTTCACCACTGCAGGTGCTTGAAAAAGAGATGGACTATTCCCATAACAAAAGGACGTCTTATAATTAGATAATATGATCACCGAGAGGTCAGGAGAAAAGAAAGCTATTGTTTAACTAAGCTAGCATTTGCATGGGAAAATCAGAGCTGGTTTTGATTCTTCAGTACCAAAATGGTGTATCCAATAAAGTTTTACTTTTGGGAATTCAAAGCTCCTGAGAGAGTTTCCTTCTTTTGGGTTCACTAGTTGGACAGTCAAATTATTCTTGCTTTGAAGCAGAAGCTAAGTAAGGACTCAAATATCAGTTACTACTTCCATTCAATTTTTCATAAGCCAAAAATTGTCAAGAATTCCATCAGATGTTTGAGTCTTTGAGAGAGAAGGATTAATTCTATAGTTACACAGAAATATTTCATACTTAAGTATCTTGAAAAAATAGTTGTGTTATTAATTAGATTCCAAAGATTATTTGAAACTTCTAAATCTTTAGGTATTTTGGGTGAATTGTCTAATATTTGCCTTTTGAACAGCAGAGTCATCACAAATTGTCCAAATAATTCTCAACTTCAAATGTGCTTGTGAGGTAAGGTAGGAAGGGTTTGCTTAGCAAATTTGGGGATTTTATAAGCTGCCCAGTTGTTAGAGGGGAGCGCAGACTTAATGAATATAATGAAATAAATAACCTTTCTATTCCTTTGAATTCAGACTGATACTGTATTCAGTTAAATAGATTTTTGATGGAAAATACTAGGATCCTGTTAAGGATATTGTTGTTGTGTTACCAACCAGCAGAGTGTAGAGCACAGAGAAACGTTGCTGAGAGCAATGAATAAGAGATGTGCAAACTGGTTTATCAAAAGTTTACTTTATAGGGGAAAAAAACAATCTCATAGTCTTTAAATCAATCCAAGTCTTTGCCAGTTAAATCAGTCCAGTGATACAAAAATCTTCTTACCACACAAACAGTAGTTGGTTAGAATAACAAACTCACTCTGGTTCACAAACCATGATGGTAGCAGATCCATCCAATGATGATAGCACAATGGTAGCAACTCCACACACTATGGTAGCATATCATCAACTGAATACGTTACAGTACCTTTCTTAAATACATTTACAACTAGTGATTATCTAATTACAGCAAGACTCAGCATTACAATGAATCAGCAGTAAAATTTTAAAGTCACACAATACATATTCATATTAAAGTCACAGAACACATATATTGCCTGGACAACTTGTTAGGCTCAAACCATATCCTAACAGATCCAAAATTGGAAACAAATTCTTGATTTATCCTTTTTCTATATATCTTTTTAGTGACTGCAAGGAAAATAAAGGCATTTATGCCACTCTCCGCTTGGAAAACCTCTTCAATATCCATAAAATCCTAAACATCAGCATGGTGAGTTTAACAGTTTATCAGTATCTTAGTACTTTACTATGCAATCTTTTGCATTTTGTTTTATTTTGATTTTGCTAGAAAATATGATTTACAAGAAGTAAGCTGTTTGTGCATCACAGTGTTTGGATCCCTGGCCCAAATATGAATTTTTATTGTTGTTGCAAGATGGCACTCTGGGATCCTTCATTTGTCCTTCAGTGCTGTTATTCATTCTGTCCCTGGCATCTTGTCTGTGTTTAAAGTGTTTGGGATCCTCCTTCAGCTCAATTTTGCTTCAGGCTGTTTCCTTTCACAGGATGAACTATGTGTTTTCATTTAATGTTACAGGATTTGAATTACAATATTTACAAAGCACCTCTGATGCCAACTTTCTCCAGGCAGTGCCAAACATGAAAAATGGTACAATAAAAAAATATCTAAGATACTTCAAATGAAATAGAAGCAATTAGTGTACATTCATAGTCTTGCTGTAGCATCTTATGATGCCAGTGTAAATTAAAAATGCTTTTTCCGTATGCCAAAATTAGTACATACCTGTTCTGTCCCCGTCTCACACACGCACCCCCACAGACAGGCAACAGTTAAAGAACTCAGTCGACAACAGTTTATCCGGTATCAGAATTGGCAGCAACCCAGTGGCTGGCTGCCAGGTATTCTTTACTCATGAGGGGGGAGTTTCTCCCTTCATCCGGGAACAAAGCCAATACACAATAATCAACAAAGTCCAGTAAATACAAAGAAGGTCGTCCAGTATCCGTTTTTTGCTTGTCACAGAGCTGAACCGGCCACCACACCCTCTTTTATACCCTGTGGGGTGTGGTCCAGTGACTCAGCCTAATCCCTGGCACGCCTCTTCCTCTGCTGCGCGCGCTTATCTCTGCGATGCTGTCGAGGGTCCAGCAAAGACTCATCATCATCATTACTGTCCACCTGCGGCTGCGTGGAAGTGCTTGGCCCCGGCCCTATCTCTTGCCCTTCGGAGAACACCGGAGGCATTGCCAGAGAGGAGGGTCCTGGAGAGGGAGGCCTTGCCAACTCCTCTCCTTCATTCTCGGAGTCCTCTCCTGCTGATAACACAGGCTCGGTGATCGGAGCTACAACAATACCGAATGCTTAGGAGTAGAGAAGCGGGCAAGTTTTCACAGAAGAGGCACCAGAACAGAAAAGACTGTTTGGGTCCCAAGGATGTGGCCCAATCTAGAGGGATTTATTGCAGCCATTAGATGGGTTGACATGAAAAAGGGATTCTTTGGGGTATTCTGATCCAGTTGTTTAGCCTTGCAGATTTAGAACATAGAACATAAAATGACAAGTTGGAAGAAACCTTGGAGGTCTTAGTCCATCCCTCTGCTTGGGCAAGAGACTCTATACCATTCTGGACAAGAGGTTGTGCAATCTCTTTTTGAAAACCTCCAGTGATGGAGCACCCACAACTTCTAAAGGCAAGACTTTCCACTGATTAATAGTTCTCGCTGACAGGAAATTTCTCCTTAGTTCTAGGTTGGATCTTTCTTTAATATTATCCTTGTCCTGCCTTCAGGTGCTTTGGAGAATATGTCAATTCCCTCTTCTCTGTGACAGCTCCTCAAATATTGGAAGACTACTATCATATCACCCCTAGTCCTTCTCTTCATTTGACTAGACACACCCAGCTCCCCCAACCATTCATCATATGTTTTAGCCTCCAGCCCCTAATCATCTTTATTGCTCGTCTCTGAATTCTTTCTAATCCCAACATCTTTTTTACATCATGGTGACCAGAATTGGATACAATATTCCAAGTGTGGTTTAGTAAAGATGAAAATTTCTTTGAATTGAATTCGATTTCTGGTAGCTTCACAGATATGTTGAAAATGTTTTGGAAGGAGTGACCAGAAAGAAGCTTGCCATTTCTTTTAGCTAGAACAAGGATACCCAACCCCCGGGCTGTGGCATGGTATTGGAGTGTGCACAGGTCAATTTTGCGTGAGTGGTGGCCACTCACACACTGGAAACTCCATTTGCACTCATGCGGGAAGCTCCATTTGCACAAGCAGTGGTCACTCATGCTCGTGCAGGGATCTCGTGCCTGCTGATTACATGGGAAACAGCCCCTCTCCCTCACCCACTGGTCTGCAAAGCTGGAAAAGTTGGAGACTCCTCACCTAGAATAATGTTTCTCAACTTTGCCAATTGGAAGATACCTGGATAGAGGATTCTGGAAGTTGAAGTCTACTCATCTTCCAGTTGACAAAGTTGAGAAACACTGTTTAAAATATTGTTTTGATTTCCTGATTATTCCTTGGAATTTCCTGATTGTTCCTTGTCCAAATTCTAATCAGGTGTCAACCATCCCACCAGTGGTAAAATCTGAACTGGTTTACTACTGGTTTGCTTGCTGCACATGTGTGCTGCATGCCAAACGTGCGCATGTGCCGTGTGCACCATGCACCAAATGCGAGGTGCACGCATGCAGTGCACAGCAAAAGAAGGCATGGGGTAAGTAGAACAGCGCACGGGGGAGTGATCAGCTGTCGCACGTGATCATCAGAGCCTTTTTTTTACTTTTAAAATAATTTTTTTACAACCTAGTTCCTGAATGCTTTTAAAAGGTTAAAAAAAGGCACGGCAAGCAGTGATCGTCGGAGCCCTTTTTTTTACTTTTTAGGCATTTTTTAGTACTAGTTCTCCAGAACTGGTAGTAAAAAATGCCTAAAAAGTAAAAAAAAAATAAAAAAAAATTCCAATGATCAGCTGAGCGACCTGCAATCTTCAGAACTTTTTTTTTTACTTTTTAAAGCATTTTTAACTACCAGTTCTGAAGAACCGGTAGTAAAAAAATGCTTAAAAAGTAAAAAAAAAAAAAAAAAGTTCCATCGATCACGCATTGCTCAGGTGATCGTCAGAACTTTTTATTTTACATTTTTTACTACCGGTTTGGCGAACCAGTAGCTTTTTTTACTACCAGTTCGGGCGAACCGGGACAAACCGGTAGCATTTCACCCCTGCATCCCACTCAGTCAACTAGCAAAGAAAGACTCCTGGCTATTTGTTTCTGTCAAGAGTATACTTTACTGAAGCTTAAGTGGTTGCAGAAGTAGTGTAAACTGAATCTGAGATTTTCCATGCAAACAATACAAAGTAAATTTTCTTCTGCCCCCCCACTCCCCAGACATTCCCCCAGTTATCTGTAAATGTCCAATTAGGTGCTTGTGTGTTATTTAGGAAGCAGGTTCTCGATTCCCAGGACTGTATGTTGATAGTTGACCTTGGCAGGCTGAAACTTCTCACAAGGCTCAGCTGGGCTTCCATCCCCCCCTCCTTCTTCCACATTCCAATCTCCTCCCCCCCCCCATTGCTAATATCAGGCTATCAGCTCATGAAGCTTGGATAAGAGAGATGCAGCCATGACATGTTACTCCTCCAGAAATAAGTCTAGTCCTACAAAACAAAATACAATAACAGTTAGTAGCAAATCATATGCAGATGGCTCATTAAGGTTTGTTAGAGTACTTAGCATGGAATTGGCAGGTGAGGCAGGGGTAGTGCACCTGGGATGCCTTAACCCACTCAGTGTCAGAAGGGGGAAAGTCCTTCCATAAAATTAAGTATTGCAACTTTCCTTAATAGCGGCAATAATCAAGGATTTCCTTGACCTCGAAATGTTGTTCTCCTTCTATCAGGATGGGAGGGGTGGGGACTTCCTAACAGGATGCAAGGGTAAATCAGTGACAGATTTCAAAAGGCTACAATGGAAAACTAGGTGGATGCGTTTAAGATTCTTAATCAATTTCAATCCAATTGTCACTGGGTTAATGACCCTAGTAATCGGAAATGTCCCCACATATTTTGAACCAAGTTTTTTTCAGGGTTGCTGTGACTGCATAAATTTTGTAGAAAGTTAACTTTTATCCCCTACTTTAAATTCCTTCTGTGGAGCTCTCCTCTTCTCGACTTGCCTCTTGTGCATGTCCTGCACTCATCCAGCACCTTATCCACAGATCAGGTGTTCTACAGAGTTCGAATCCAATCAGTTAAGAATACCAGTTGAGGGGTGTGTTGAGGGAGTTCTGGCATAAACTGTCTTTCCCGCCGCCTTGAAAGAAGCGGTGGTGAGGCCCCTCCTCAAGAAGCCCTCCCTGGACCCGGCTGTGTTAGCAAATTATCGTCCTGTCTCCAACCTTCGCTTTGTTGCGAAGGTTGTTGAGAGTGTGGTTGCACGACAGCTGCCTCAGTGCCTGGATGAATCGACTTATCTAGATCCGTTCCAGTCGGGCTTCAGGCCCGGGTACAGCACGGAGACGGCATTGGTCGCATTGGTTGATGATCTCTGGAGGGCTCGGGACAGGGGTTGCTCCTCTGTCCTGGTCCTATTAGACCTCTCAGTGGCTTTTGATACCATCGACCATGGTATCATGCTGTACCGGTTGGAAGGGTTGGGGGTGGGGGGCACTGTTTTACAGTGGTTCTCCTCCTTTCTCTCCGACCGGTCGCAGTCTGTGTTGACAGGGGGGCAGAGGTCGACCTCGAGGCCCCTTGTATGTGGGGTGCCGCAAGGATCGGTCCTCTCGCCCCTTCTGTTCAACATTTATGTGAAGCCGCTGGGTGAGATCATCCGTGGTTTTGGGGTGAAGTACCATCAGTACGCTGATGACACCCAGCTGTACATCTCCACCCCAGACCACCCCAATGATGCCCTCGAGGTGATGTCCCGGTGCCTGGAGGCCGTACGGATCTGGATGGGGAGGAACAGACTCAGGCTCAACCCATCCAAGACCGAGTAGCTGTGGTTTCCGAGGTCCCGATATAGTCAGTTGGCGCCATCTCTGACTATTGGGGGCAAGTCGTTGGCCCCCACAGATGGGGTTTGCAACTTGAGCGTCCTCCTGGACTCGCGGCTGTCTTTAGAAGAGCATATGGCGGCTGTGGCCAGGAGGACTTTTTATCAGGTTTGCCTGATTCGCCAGTTGTGTCCCTTTCTGGATCGGGACTCGTTACGTACAGTCACTCACGCCTTTGTC